TCATTAGAAAGTGTTCCACCACTTCCAAATGAAACATACAAAGTAGATTTATTTTCTTGTTTATCCAAAAATCTTAAATATTCAAAATCATTTCCCTCATCACTTGACGCATTTTGTATAAAAGGTCCAATTGGGTAAATTGAAGGAACTCCTTCACACTCTTTTTGTTGCAAAGTTCTTATAGTAATTTCTTCGAGCGCAAGAAAGCTATTAACCATTATACCATCCGCTAAATAGAATCTATCATTACCTTCAATAAAAACCTTGTAGGCCTCGCCCGATCGATCTTGCATAGGATCCGGGAGATCGGTAGCATTGATCGGTATACAACCGGGAATCTCAATTGGATCTAATAGGTCTTTGTACTCGGACGAAATTGTTTTGTCTAGATATGTAGTATGCAAACAAAGTGATAGTAACATGGTTGTGGATGGAAAATATGAATATGCTAAAATATTAAGTTTCTTGGCTAATGACAACACTTGGGTTATTAAACCGTCGGCAACAACGGCGACAAGTTTTGAACTAGAATGTAATGTGTTCAACGCGTCTTGAATCGAGGGAACGGAACCGTATATAGTGGCTTGAACTTTGAGTGCAGGGTGAATATCTTCTGGCAAGTCTTGTAAATTTATTGGTGGGAGAAACATGTAGTTAATGTTTGATGGAAGAGTTTCAAAGAGAGATTTGACATTGTTGCATGGAGAAGAACCAAAGGTAGGGTTTATGCATGTGACATGAATGTTTTGGTTTTGAAGAACCAATTGTTTGGCGAATTCAAGAATTGAACGAAGGTGGCTGTATACAGGAACTGTAACTATGGCTATGTGAGTTTTGGTCTCCATTTTGATGACTTAATGTTCACTTTGTTATGAAAATATGGATGAATTTATAGGAATTAATATTGAAGAGTTATTTATGATAACTCTCTTTTGCTTTGAAACTTTTTTGAATTAAATTCATTAATTGAATTGATATTCATATTTAACTCCATATACAAAATTTAGGAGTTTCAATATAAATCAAGTTGAAACCTATATTAAAATAGGAACGGAAGGTTTGTGATAGTGTAAAAAATATCATCCATCATAATGATGAGTTATGTTGTGTTTTTTTGGCAAACGTTTTTGTTCTTGTGTGTGTGAGTGGTTTTGTGGAAAAAAGGTTAATCAAAATCTAATAATTTTTTATTTAAAAAAATTAATGGTTTAATTGTAATTTTAATTTCTCTAATTTAATTTTTTTTTTTTAAGTTTTGATCCTTTTTATAAAATTCAGTTTTTTATTTCTCCATTTCGTTTTAGTCCCCTTCCAATTTCATTAGTTACATGGCAGTCCATTTAATGATGTATGATTGCTACATGTACACAAATTAGTTATATGTCATTTTTTATTTTTTATTTTATTTAATAATTTATAATTAAACTTTATTTTAATAATAATATAAACTATAATATTATTTAACAAATAAAATAAGAATAGAAAACCTAAATTAATTTTTTATGAATTTGTAAAGATTTGCTTATCCAGCAAGACCCAATTCAACATGCTAACAACCCTAGCAATATTGAAAGTAATGAAAGTCAACATATACACCCTTCCACTATGTTTTTCTGCCATAACCTTAAACCTTTTCAACATGTTTAAAGCCTCTCCTTTGGTCTTTATTTGGTACACCTTTAACATTCTACTGAATTCATTTACAAATGAGATGAAGTATTTGATTCCTCCACAAGAAAGGGTTTCAATAAGACCACAAATGTCAGATGAAACTACATTTTGTACATTTTGGCTCTCATTGACAACTATTTCACAAAAGGTAACTTACTTTACTTCCCAAGCATGCAGATGTCACATGTTTTATCAAGTGTCTCTATCTTAGGCAATCATTCTACTAACCCAATAGTATTCAGCTTTCCTAGACTTCTAAAGTCCAGATGCATATACCTTTTGTGCCAAAGCCAACTTTCTTCATCAGGAATTGATGAGTAAAGACAGTGTGATTCTGAGGCCTTCAAGATAGCCTTGTAGATTCTGTTTCTTGTTAGAGTTGATTTTAGAACCATTCTTTTCTTCTTATCATATAGCTTCATTGAGCCTCCTTTCGTGATTACTGAGAATCCTTTCTCGACTAGCTGACCAATGCTCAGCAGATTACATTGCATACCAGGGAAAAATAACACATCTTTTATTAATTTTATTTTGTCTTCCTTTCTTTGTATGACAATCTTGCCCATGCCTTTTTCCATTAAGCTTCACATTTGTCTTCTATTGTATGAGTTAAATTCAGTCAACCACCCCTTGTGTCCAATAATGTGGTTGGAACAACCAGAATCTAAGTACCACATATCAAAAGTTGAATCCCATTCAGAGGTTGTTATCATCAACATGACAAGATCTAAATCTGAATCATCTTGCACCATGTTAGCTTCCTCTGTACCTGTCTTTTGCTTTCCCTTTCCAAACCAGCAATCTAAAGCAAAGTGACCATACTTCTCACAATAGAAGCATTGAATTTTTTTCTCTTTTTTTGAAAATTTTTCTTGTTTTGAAATATGTTAGATCCTCCTTCTCCTTTAGAGGATTCAAATCTTTCTTCAAACTTTTTCTTCTTCTCTTTGCTATCTAGTGTGGCTTCTTTCTGGTGCTTTCCTTTTGCTTGCTTCCACATTCTCTCCATTTCATAAGAACCTCCCTTTCTTGAATGAGAAATCAGGGCCTGTTTAGAATCTTTATTTGTCTCTCTTTGATTCAGTCTCAGTTCTCTAGTGTTAAGAGATCCTTGCAGATCCTCCATCTTTATTGTTTCCAAATCTTTGGTTTCCTCAATTTTTATTACTATCATATCATATTGAGGACTGTGACTTCAAAGTACCTTTCCGACCTTCACTTTCTCTATTAACGTCTTTCCAAAATTAGAGGTGGCAGTTTTAATCATCCCCATAGGGTACCCGCAAAAATTATCCACAACGGATAGGGTAAAAACCCGCAAAATAGGTATGGGTATAAGCACGGGCAATTGCCCGCTAAAACACGTGGGCGTGGGAGCGGGTATGGGGTACCTTAGTACCCAACACGCCTCATACTCGTACTATATATATTTATATGTTTTTTATTTTTATTATTATAAACACATTTGTGTTTATCAATTTTATTGAATACATCTATATTAAACTTGTACACATTTCAATGTAAGTGTTTGTTTATTTCTTAACTCAACAATAATATCCTTGAATATTTTTTAATATTGCCAAAATTTTAAAATGACATGATAAATTATAATTGATCGATAATGTTTTATTAAAATGCGGGTAAACGGGTACAGTTATGGGTAGTTAGCTACCCATAGGATACAGACACGAGCATATATGTTGGTGCCCAGACGGGTATGGGCTCGGGTACGAAGATTTTTTAAAATTGCGGCTATGTGGATGAGTATTATAGCATCCTGCCCAAACCCTACCCATTGTCATCCCTATCCAGAATTCTTCATATGGTTGGTTAATTCTTGAACCCTTGTGAAGAAATCTAATATCGATTTGTCCTCTTTCATATGCAACATTTTATATTGCTTTCTCAAATACTGGATACACACCTTCTTGACCTTTGCATCTCCACCATAGTATTTTTCCAGCGTATCTCATGCTTCTTTCGAAGTTGCAACATGAGCTATTTTATCAAACAAATTCTCTTCAACGCATTGGTGAATGTAAAATAGGGCCTTCTGATTTTTCTTCTTGGATTCCTTGTATGCCGCTTTCTGAGCATTAGGCGTATTTTCTGCAAGCAGTTGAAACTCATCTGCTACATACACAGGCACATCTTGAACGCTGAAGATGACTCTCATATGAATGTACCACTTTTCTCAATTCTTACCATTAAGAACTGGAAGATTTGCAGGAAAGTTGTTGCCGCCTATTCCAACCATAGCTTTAATCACTTTTGATTCTGGATTTCAATCGGTCTCGTGATACCATATGGTTGTGTTATCACACCTTTTTAATGTGAAAGTTAATTGAGAGAAAGATAGAGAGAGTATTGGAGTGGAAAGAAAGAAAATAAAGTATTGAATATTGAATGAGGGAATGTTATGTTAGAGAAAACTTGTTACAAAACTACACAACTAATTATTATATATACACATGAAATAACTAACCAACTAAACTTAAATTAATACACAACACATTCAAAAAAAAGAATTTAAAAATAAATAAATTTCTATTGAACTATTTAAAATTTAAAAAAGTTTCCAATTACCTCATCCAATTAGACTAAATGATTTGACTAAAGCACATTTACTTTCAAAGATAAAGTGCACTCAAACTCAATATTATTTCAATTGTCATATCAACACAAATTTTAAACATTTTTACAAATATTAATGCCCACAACTCTCTCTCTCTCTCAAGTTAATATTTCATATTTATGGAGAAAAAAACCAAATTTGTGTGTAATTTATAACAAGAACAAGAACACTTGCAAAATGCACTCTCTAAACTATATATTAGGGCTCTTGTCTCTAATATAAAAAATAAAACATTATTACAATAATAATAACAACAATAACAATCAAATTTTATTCTATTAATTAAGATCAACTACATATGAATCAACTCATTGAATAAATTTAAAGTTTTTAGATAAACTTTTGAGTAAAAGAATATCTAGTTCATTTGTCTTTAAATAAATAGCTCTTTTTATTGATATTCTAGATTATCGGAATATAGAGATTTATTGCAAACAATCATAATTGTTGTTTGATTGTTTAAAAAACAATTTTTTTTATAACTAATTTACATATCATAAATAAGTAGTTTAGAGGACAACCCAACAACAAATGAATAATTGTTAAATTCTTCTGTATATAAATTTCATAACAAAAAAACACGTGTTCTATCATGATTGGTGAGAGAACGAAACTAAAGTTTAATATTTTTCTCTTCATAAAAAGAAAACCCATTTTCTCATTCTGAAAATTTGAAAATCAGAAAAGAAAAAAAATGGATTCAACATCGAAAAGCCAAACTCCAGAATATTACCAAAACGTCGTCGTAATGAGACACGGCGATCGCATCGACAACGTCGATCCGCTATGGACGCTCACAGCGCAACGACCGTGGGACCCACCTCTCGTTCGAGAGGGTCGGATTCGGTCCTTCTGTACGGGTCGGAAGTTTCGCAATCTTTTCAAATATCCGCTTCATCGTGTATACGTTTCACCGTTCCTCCGCTGCGTTCAGACCGCCGCGGAAGCCGTTATCGCTCTCTCCGCCGTCGATGATTGCCCCGAAGCACTCACCGGAGAATCCGTTAGCTTCGATCCTTCTAAAATCAAGGTTGCTCATATTGCTTAAATTCATCATCCAATTATATTAATTTCATTTCAATTATATTTTATTATAAAACATATACCGAACACGATTCCGACCCCAATAAAAGATAATAATAATAATAATAGATTAAAGATAATCATAAACATCTGTGCAGAGAAAGGTTCACTGATACATTTTTTCAGAAGTCTCAATCACAATCATGATACATATATGTTTTGATAGGTACAACTTTAGAAGTAATTAAGTTTTCGTGATTTCGGTGAGTGTTGCGATGTTGATTGTGATTTTTTCTGACGTGAATTAACTATAATTTGTTATTTAACATTAAAGGGTGAATAATGGTATTGGTATAGGCAGTTGCTGATACCGTTTTTCGCAGCTATTTTTGCGGTCGCAAACATTTTTAAAACCTTTCATTACATTGGATCAAAATTGATTTTATCTTTAAATTGTTGCTAAAATTCTCCAACTCACATCCACAACTGCAGGTTTCTGTTGAATATGGGTTATGCGAAATGATGAGCAGAATGGCGATTAAGCTTGACGTGGCTCCTAAAGATGGAAACTGGGATTTCAACATATCAGAGCGCGAGGCCATGCTTCCGGCAGGGACGGTCGATAAAAATGTAGAAAGGGTATATAAAGAGGTATAGACTATATTGGATTCTTGTGCATTTTGAATAGCAAAATATTTTTAGCTCATAAATTATATTCATGATAGTTACTTTTTGGTTTGAGGAATTTTTCAATTTAGTTGCCAAAGTATGAGGAGCCAATTGCAAGCACGAAGGCTAGATATGAGCAAATAGTTAAAGATCTTGCTGATAAACATCTTACTGAAAACTTGCTTCTTGTCACACACGGTATGTATCATATTCAATTTCTTCCATAATCACTGAAGTATAGTTTACTGTTAAATAGAGGCTATAGCTAACAAAATTTAAGCAAAGTGTTATTATTCCACGAGACGCTATTTTTAATACAAAATATTGTCAAATAGCGATGTTATAGAATGGTTGGTTAGCAAAATTTGAACTAACCTGTAATTTTTGCAATTGACGATGTTGCTGCAAAGTATAAAAGAACTTGAACTCACTGGTTAATGACAGATTGGAATGAGAATCAATCTTGTTTTTGCCAGTTGAACTCTAACTGAATTGCACCTTTTGCAGGAGAAGGAGTTGGTGTGGCTCTATCTTCATTCAAAAAGGGTGCTGAAGTATATGAAGTTGATTATTGTGGATATGTCGAACTAAGACGCCCGATTTTCAAGAAAGACAAATCATTTACTGCTGGAAAATTCGAAGTAATTACTAATACCGGACAAACTGGCGTAAGTTATTCCATCTAAAGTCCTTGGAGCAACGGCATATACATCTGTTAAACTTCGTATTGGCCTTCCACGCGCCAGATTCTCACTTATCACCTGTCTTATTCTGACATTGGAGTTGCATATTCTTCTACACTCTTATGATATTTTCCTTGATCGAATAGTAAACATGGGAGAGAAAGAAATCGAAAATTGGTGGAATTTATGTTGCTATTTTACTGTGAAGATATTACTTGTTTGTACAATAATGAATTATGTGACGATGAAACCAAAATGAGATAATCTTATTTGCTCTTTAAGTTTTTGTATTCTCATTTTTTTCTTGTTGAGCGGAACATTCGCCCTGCAAGGGTCTGACCTACAGCCTTGTCCTTGGGATATATCGAGCTGATGGTCACCTTAGGAGAATGGAAGGATGTTAAGACCAAACTCATTGCAGCGTTAATACATACATAACATAGCAGAAACATAATTGACCAAGATTGCAAGAAATAATCATCACTAAATTTGCATTTGCAATGTCTATTTTAAGCTGTCCTACCAGTAGTATCACAGCATCAATAAACTCGAAAATTACAATAACTAACTAAATTTTAAGTGGTACAAACAAACAAAAAATAACAATGACAACAATATTCAGAGATTAGATGGACTTGCAGGTGGATCAAAGTGATTAAACATGTCTTCAGGAAAATCATCAAAGAAACTTTCAATGTGTGTTGAGAAATCGTCATTTGTATCCATATTCCCGATACTGCAACTCCCCGATGGCTCGAAGAAAGGAACCATTCCAAACTCAGATGAATACAAAGGATCAAAAACATCAAATAAATTTTGTTCATCCACTCTTGACATTGGAAAAGTAAGATCAGTTTGGAGTTCTGGAATCTGAGGAAGTTCAATGTGTTCAGTACTTTTGTAGCTCTGGACAAAAGGGGTTAAGTCTTGTTCGACATAGTTTGCGTCGATACTCGGCTTTTCGGGTTTTATAAGATCTTGTAGTGGCATCATTTTGATAACCTCAGAAGGTTTTTCAATGCAGGGTAATGAACACGGTTTAGGCTTTGATGGTGTTTCTCCCTCTGATGAAGAACTAAACTTAAAAGGAACCTGCAAGAAAAAGAAACAACCCGTTGGGTGAATGTGGAAAACCTAAGACTTAGAATCCGAATTCGAAGGAAATACAAGAAAAATAGGAACCTTTGAGTTGTTTAATTACCTCTGAAGTTGGAACATGGGAAGAAACTTTGGCTTTGTTTTTGTGTGACTTTGAGGTTGATGATGATGTTTTGAGAAGCCTAGCCAACCTCTTCTGTCTACTGCTCCAGAAATTTTTGACATCATTGTCTGTTCTTCCAGGCAAGTAGGATGCAATCTTTGCCCATTTGTTCCCAAATTGTTCCTGCAACTCGATCACAATCCTCTCTTCTTCTATTGCAAACTTGCATCCACTTTCACATAGAGAAACACCCCCAAACACAAAAATCAAATTAGATAAAACGCATCAAATAATTATTTTATGCCATAAACTTGAGTAATCAGACATGCGTGCACCCGAAATAAAATTAACCAATAAATAAATCACCAAAACAAACATGAATAAGGACTCTAACATGAGTGTGTCAATACGAATAAAAAATAGAATAATGGAATGTAACCATGACGTATCTAATACCGAAGAAGAAATGAGAGTGAAGTGCAATGATGCAATGGTAGTAACTTACTTTTTGAGGTTTGGTCGAAGCTTATTAACCCAACGAAGACGACAAGACTTGCCAGTTCTTTGAAGAAGACCTTTGGATCGAATGGAGCTCCAATCTCTTGGACCATATTTCTTAACATGATGAATTAAAACATCATCTTCTTCTGTTTTCCATGGACCTTTCTTCACATGTTCTTGCTCTTTTTTCCCATGCATTTTTTTTCTTTCTATAATAACACCACCACACACACACAACTACTTTAAACTAAGACTCTGATATTTTTGTTTTCTACAACCTTTCAAATGCTTGGCTTTTTATTTTATGTTGTTTTCTTGCTCCTAAATCTTTGCTTCCCACTATTCCATGTTCTTAGACTTGTGCAGTTATGGTGGTTACTCACTCTTCCCACTAAACATTCCCACTTTGTCCATTAACAGTTAAATATTTATTATTATTATTATTATTATTATTATTATTATTATTATTATTATTATTATTATTATTATTATTATTATTATTATTATTACTATTATTATTATTATTATTATTATTATTATTATTATTATTATTATTACTGTACCAAAAAGAAAACCCTAAAAAATTAATATATTAATATTAATTAATAAGTGGACATTTGTCTGATTTTCGTTGGCTTTTTTAAGTGAAAATTTCGAGTGTGTTTAAGATTTTGCTACAGGTGCTTTGTTATTTTACTAATAATCTCTATGTATTTAATAAAGAGTAGTGTGTTTTGACTATTTCTCAAGAAGTTTGAACCAATTTTCTAAAAGTGAATTACAAAACTCGTCCATAATATTTTTTCTTATAAGTATGTAAACATTACAATATTTATACGAATTTTGTTTATTTTTCTAATAAAAGCAGATAAACAAAACTTCAAAAAAAAAATGATAAAAAAAGACAAGTTAAAAGAAAAATAGACTCAGTTAAATTATTTAATTTTTTTAAAAATAACACATTTTTTCAATTTAAATAAAGAAATAAATCATATTTTTAAGTTACTTATGAAAATAACTATGTTTCAAAAATATAGAAAGTATTTCCGTCATTTAATTTGGAGCATGCTAAAAAACACTCATGCGTTATTTGATTTGAAATATGCAGATATGTGAAACCATTTCAAATGGCATATCCATGCGTATGGAGTACATGTATCATTTTAATGGTGTGTGTATATATATATATATATATATATATATATATATATATATATATATATATATATATATATATATATATATATATATATATATATATATATATATATATATATATATATATATATATATATATATATATATATATATATATATATATATATATATATATATATATATATATATATATATATATATATATATATATAAAAGTTAAAAATATGATGAAAAATAGAAATAAATTAAAATAAAAGGAAAATAAATAAAAACTATGATTTATATACATTAAAGATTAAAACAATTGATTAAAAAAATCAATGTCCCGTCCGATCTAAATGTTCCCGATTCCACATCCCGACGCATTAGCTTGCCTCCGAGGTCTGTTTGTAGTATTTGTGTATTGACCTGCGAAAAAATTATTTAGAGCGAAGGTATTGGCATACTTGACATTTGTCCCCAATAATCGGGGGTGTTGCTGCCAACAACATTGTCCTAGTTGAGTTATGTGCCCACAACTACTTTAAACTAAGACTGTTGTTTTTTTGCTCCTAAATCTTTGCTTCACACTATTCATGTTCTTAGACTTGTGCGGTTATGGTCGTTACTCACTTTTCCCACTAAACATGTCCATGATGTCCATTAACGGTTAAATATCTATTATTATTACTATTATTATTATTATTATTTATTACTGTACCAAGAAGAAAACCCTAAAAAATTAATATATTAATATTAATTAATGAGTGGACATTTGTCTGATTTTCATTGGTTTATTTTACTCATAATTTTTATATATTTAATAAAGGACAGTGTGTTTTGACTATTTCTCAAAAAGTTTGAACCAATTTTCTAAAAGTGAATTATAAAACTCGTCCATAATATTTTTCTTTACAAAGGATGTCAACATTACAATATTTATACGAATTTTGTTTATTTTTTTAAAAATAGCATATAATTTTGTTTATATATATATATATATATATATATATATATATATATATATATATATATATATATATATATATATATATATATGTGTGTGTGTGTGTGTGAAATTTAAAAATATTTTTATTGAAAATAAATTACAAACATTGTCTTTAAAATTTAAAAGTTTTTTTTTTAAAAGTAAGTATTTTTTTCTTCTCAAATTGGACAAAATATATAATGCTAAAAAAACATTTTTTGTGAAAATTAATTATAAAAATATTTTAATGAAAAATAAAAAGTCTAAAAATAATCTATATATAATTTATCTTTTAATATATAAATTTTTATTTTTTCAAAATTAGTATCGGAAATTAATCACGCGTCTACTCCAAGTGAACACTAGAACTCAACCTACATTTATTATAAAAAGTAAAATATTAATGGTCATTTTAGTAAAAAATAAAAGAAAGAATTATTTACTTCATCCTTACAAGTATTGTTATAAACACAGAGCAAGAGATAGTTTGAGTGAAGGGACAAATTTTGGCTGCAAGTTTATTGAGGAAGAAGCAAAGTAGCTATATTGAGAGACCAAAGAGAATGAGTTATGGATTTGAAAGCACTGAAAAGTGATTCTACTACAAGAATGATTAAGGTTATTTGAAACTGACAAGATGAAGGAGATTTATTTGGTTAATTATAACCAAGACAAGAACAAAAAATAGTTAGATCTAAAATTATATAGATGATAATATAAAAAATTAACTATATATTACCTTTTTGAATGAGATGTGAGAAGTTTAATATTTTAAATTTTAAAATAAAAACTTCAAATAGGTTCAAACAATATCCATATTATATCATCTCAAATGAGATAATACTATAATATTTAATGCTTATGGCTTTTGTCACACCTAAATTTTTAAGTTAATCAGACTTAAAATTTATAAATTGGTATTAGAAATTTTATAGATAATTTTTCAAAATCCTACTTGCAATTTGACACTAATGAGCTATGGTCAAGCCGGGAATTGATATGATATGATATCAATTATGACATTTATAGTGGTATGTCTAGAATAACAAGTAATGGTGTTAATAATTAGTATTGAATACATCAATGTAAATGTAAGTATTTAGAAATGGACAAGAATAAAAATTTATAATGACACATCAAAGTAACTAATAATTCATTTATTTGACAAATTCTTCAACATAGCAGAAAGACACTCCATTAAATTCTCAAGGCCAAGTATGAAGTTGCAAGTACAATCTGAATTCCTGCTGACCTAAAAATATTATAACAATGTAGGTGAGATATTAATTTCAGTAGATTTCCAATCTAAACTATGAAACCACCCTTTACCCTTCTACCATGTTTAAGCATACTTGAGCATTTAATTTTGAGTATTTGTGAGAATTTATTGAGTCACCAATAACTCAAATTAAATATTCTTATATTAGCTATTAATATATAATGGAGTCAAATTAACATAAAATAAGTGATGATCCCATCAACAGAGTCACATTTCTTTTATTTTCATCTTTCTTTTTATCTTGCTCATCTTTTTTCTGAGGATATAATATAGACACTCTAATCTTATATCTTATAAATTAGTTATATCATTTTTCTATCTCTTCGAACTATACGTCATTTGATGTTATTGTTAGATATTGGATCGAACTCTAGTATGGTCGAAGGGTAGCTTCTAGTTCGACAGGAATTAAGCATGAAGTCGAAGTTTGTTCGCATGATGTTGTCGAAGATAATACGTGTTGTAGTCAAAGTTTGTTCTAATATGCATTAGTCAATATTGTTAGGTTGTTAGCATATTGGATTAGGCCTTGCTTGTAAGCTCAAGTGTTTAAGTTAGCTTGTAATGGGTAATTGTTAAAAAGTCCATTATGTTAGTATACTATTTTTCTTATAAATAGGATGCTAGTTTCTCAATCTTGGCATAAGGAAAAATAGGAAGATAAAATCCTAATTTCAAGAGAGAGAGAGGTTATTTTGTTATTCTTGTATACTTGTAATCTTGTTCTAAAAGTAAGAAAAGAATAACAGTTTATAACCAATCCTTGTTGTTTTACCTTGTTTTCTTTGTTAACCCTAACCCTTGTGTGTTTCTTGATCATAAAGAAATCGTTTATACTTTGTTTCAAATTATCTGATTCACAACAAATTGTTGCGGTGAGCATGGAGAAAATGTCTTCAACAAAGTATGAGATTGAATAGTTCACCGGAGTGAACGACTTTGGTATGTGGTGATTGAAGATGAAAGTCCTACTAGTTCAGCAGGATTGTTTGGAAGCGTTGAAGGGAGAGGCAGCCATGGACATTGCGTTAACGGAAAAAGAAAAGACGAGCATGATTGAGAAAGCCCACAATGCAATATTGTTGAGCCTTGGTGATAAGGTTCTTCGACAGGTATCAAAGGAGACTACAGCATCGAGATTATGGATGAAACATGAAATTTTGTACATGACCAAATGTCTGGGGAATCGGCTATACTTGAAGCAAGCTTTATATTCATTCAAGATGAGTGAAGATAAAGTGTTGGCTGAGCAGTTGGATATGTTCAACAAGTTGATTCTTGATCTTGAAAATATTGATGTGAAGATTGATGATGAAGATCAAGCATTGTTGTTGTTGTGTGCTTTGCCCATAACACATACTCACTTCAAAGAAACTCTCTTATATGGAAGGGAGTCCCCGACCTTGAAGAAGTTCAATCAGCCTTGTATTCTAAGGACTTGAACGAACTAAAGAAGTATAAACCTTCGACGGTGGGTGAAGGTTTGGCCATTAAGGGAAATTTTTTGCAAAAGGATGATAAGTTTGACAAGAAGTAAAAGTCAACAGAAGTCTTATAGTGGTGAAACATCTGGTATTCAATGTTATCATTGTAAAAAGGAGAGACACACAAGAAAGGTGTACCATGAACGCTTGAAAGATCATGGAGGTAATGGCAACGCAGCCATTGTTCAAGATGACTTCGACTCATCTGATGTTTTTGTGGTTTCAAGTGGCAACTCAAGAAAAAAATGGATTATGGATTCAGGTTGCACTTGGAACATGACTCCAAACAGAGAATTGTTCGAGGAGCTAT